TAAAGAACCATTAAAGTTTTTTTTTTTAATTGTAGAATAGAGTGTAGTTGTCATTGCTTGAAAACGTCACATAGAGGATGTCACAAACATTAGCCTACTACTGTCTAATGAGTTTTTCAAAGAAAAGCCACCAGCTGTCACCTTCCAGCAGATCCATGATCAGGTCGTTCTGTGTGAACTTCTACTCTCAACAATTATTAACAATTAACCAAAACCCACTTGAGATCGTCAGCACAGGCTACTAGACCTGCGTGAGCACCAGAATGTGTTTGTCTTTCGTGAGCGTAGTAGCGCTCAGGAGCTAATGTGAATTAGTTGGGCAAACACAGCTAATGTGGCATGTGTAATTGGACAGTCACTTAAAAGTGTTAAAGTGTGTTTGCGCTCAAGATTCGTTTTCCGCTGATTCAGGCAAAGACTGTAGAACCTGCCTAAACATATGTATAAAAGTGAGAAGCACACACTGTTCGTCCCAAACCTTCTCTCGTCTACCATCTCTGCAATTCCTTGTCCTCTGCTTCAAGAACAGGTATGTGACCGGCAGGATACTAAATCAACAGATGGTGCTATTGTAACTGGTGCTGCATGTAAATATGTCTTTATATGTGTCTTTCTGTCAGCGTAACTATGGCAGTGTGGCTCCAGGCTGGTGCTCTGTTGTTCCTGTTGGTCGTCTCCAGTGTGAATGTTAACGCAGGGGCCCCGCAGTACCTGTGTGGATCCCATCTGGTCGATGCTCTCTACCTGGTCTGTGGTCCAACAGGCTTCTTCTACAACCCCAAAAGAGATGTTGACCCTCTTCTGGGTAAGGAAGACTATGTTTCTAGTAGAGAATCTTTGAAAAGTATGGAAATATGGGAAGAGATGCTAGGAAACTAATAATACTCTGGATACTGCAAAGACATTCCACCTATCCTGTAATTAATGTATTTAATATTGTGTAGTGTACATAGTATGTTTTGTGTGCCTTTTAAATGCAAATACATTGCATGAAGAAGATAACACTGAAATAATATAATTTTTACCAGTGGTTCTAATATGCTGATTTGGTGCTCAAGTAACATTTCTTATTATCAATGTTGGACTAAGTTGATATTTTTGTGGTAACTGTAATACATTTTTCAGGATTCTTTGATGAGTGGGAAGTTAAAAAAAAAACAGCATTTACAGCATTTGTTTTTTTTTTTAAATAGAAATGCCTTTACTGCCACTTTTGATAAATTTAAAAAACTTTCACACCAAACATTTGAGTGGTAGTGTATATGTATAAAATATGTATAATGTGTAAAACAACTTAAAAAAATACATTTACAGTATCTCATCAAGGTTAGACATGATATTTTGGGGAGAATTCAAAAAGATTTAACCTCTGTGGCAATGAAGTCTGATCTGATTTTCTTCATTTTTTTCTTTATCCAACTGAACAGGGAACGTCAAAGAAGAGCAGCAATTAAATTAGGCCCTTTATATAAAACTAGACTAATGTCAGGATTTTCCCTATTGTTGTATTTTTCCAGGTTTCCTTCCTCCAAAATCTGCCCAGGAAACTGAGGTGGCCGACTTTGCATTTAAAGATCATGCCGAGCTGATAAGGAAGAGAGGCGTTCTGGAGCTGTGTTGCCACAATCCCTGCAGTATCTTTGATCTGCAGAATTACTGTAACTAAAGATCCTGCACATGTCCCGTGACAACTGTTTGCACACAGGCACAGGCCTTAATGCTCTTGATTTGTTTTTCATAGAAAATAAAATTTTGTCAAATGAATGCAGGTGTTTTTGTATCTCTACATTGCAATTTAAATAAGGTATTTCAAAATTCCAGTCATTTAAATGAGAAAACACAGTTTTATTTGACAAGTTAAGAATATTAGGATAAACAGGAATAATTCACATTAGTTCAGCCCCATCTGAGCTCTCCTGATTGAAATACAGACTGTGCTCAGATTCTGAGACTTTTGGTTCCATGACTAAAACTCGAAACATCTAGAGTGGAGTCTAAGTCTAACAATCTATCCAGCCAAACCCTGGGTTAGCCCATCATAACAGACATCATTTACTAATGAAAGACTTATGGGTATAATAGCAAAACAGCTTGTTTAATTCTGAGGGCCAGAGATGTGAAAATGGTCATAAAAACTAGATTTTGGTGCAACATTGACTAGGGACAAGGCAAAAAAACAAAAACACAATATGGCTTTGTTACTGTAAACTAGTGGTACAGTTGCAAGATTGTGAACCTTTTTCAAGAGATATATTATAGTACTTTTTTTTTTTTTTATAAAAATGAACTGTAGTCATTCTGAGGTTGATATTGATCTAATTCTGTGTAACAATGTCCAACCAAAACGTATGCAATTTTTAAAAAATAGTATATTTACAACTTTTTACACATTTAATTCTGACTATATACTGTATAGCCACATATGTGATGATTATAAATATGAAATGATAATCTGAGAAGTCTGTTTTCATTACCTCTTTTTGAATACAACAGTAGGTTGGAAAATATATAGTGGCATCATCCATTTAGACAGATAAATATAAATTGGAATATTCCACAATATTATTGGTTTTTACTAATAAATCTAGCCTTGGTGAGCAAAACCCCCAAACATTTGAACTGTAGTATATAACCAGTATTAATGACAAAATATTCAATATACATAATATAAAGCATGTCTAAAGTAAGCTCAATGAGAAACACAAAAATTGAGAACATTATACATGTAACAAAATTGATTTATTGTTTGTTCTCATTTATTTAAAGCCCTCCTGACCCTCCTTCATCACAGGATCATTTTGCTGTTTTTTTCCATCATAATTAAATACATATTTTTAATCAGACTCATATTCTGAATATCGAAACCAGCAAAAGCCTCCCTGTATAGATCTTCGGTCATGCATGCTATTATACTAGCCAAACACCATTAAAAAAAAGAAGCTTAAATAAGAAGCAAGAGACTAAGCACCAATACTTTTTTCTTTTGTTCATATATGAAAGAAACAACAGGTTAGATTACAGTCAACTAAAAGGCAGTGTGTTTTGCACTTCTAACACACAACCAGGCCACCACTACAATGATTCTGAAATGTCCTTCTTTTGAGTGGTACAAACAATACCAAGTGAGTCACATGAAAAAAGCCACACTGTCAGCTACCCATCTCAGATGCCACCTTACAACTTTTTTTCTCTCAAACTTTTTAAAAAGCATAACAAAGTTTGTTTTTTGCCCCCCAACATGAAATAAAATAAACCAACTACTCACAGCAGAGAGAGCTGCTCTGCTAATTAATAGAAGCTAAAAGCACCAGGAAATGGATGAAACAAAGTGGTAGGTGTGTGTGTGTGTGTGTGTCAGTGGTCAAGAGTTTAGATCCTTCTCCCACAAACTAGCCCAGATACAAATATCTATGAAGTTTTTCTCTTTAATTCACATTTTCAGTCATGTAACTGGGCTAACATTTTTTCATGCGCTCATACATTTATTAAATATACCTGCGGATTAACTTATGGCCACAAGAGGGTAGCAGAACATTCATTTACAAAGAGCAAGAGTTGTTGAATTATTATGGACTGACCCTTGATCTAACTTGCATTCAGACAGTACAACTGATTTGGGTCAGACTTTTTCTGATTAAAATGTTTTTTTTTTTTTTTTGTGAATTTAAAATTATATAAAAGATTCTGAAGAGGATTTCATCTCAATCATTCTAATCAATCCATGTTACAATTACAGTATTTAAAGTGTGAGAAATTTCATCTGAGCTTATATTGAAAATAACCTTGAAATACATAGTTTCAAAGTGTCAGATCAGAATTTTCACAACTGTCACATGCAACCCAGAATTTTGACTAATGCTTACTTAGCAGTTTCTAGGTAAAGTTTATTAGTAAACTCACTTTCACACATTTTGACTGTTTAAATGACTCCTAATGTTGCACCATCACAACTAATCAGGACTTCTTCTTTTCTTTTTTTTCACCAGTATTCCAAAATCTGGCTTTAACACAATGCAACAATGGGCAGAGATGAACAAGTTTTCATACTCAGACTTTTAGGAGAAAATCTAAATCCAAAACAAAAGTAAAATCCAAAGAAGTTCTACTTCTACAAACACTTCTACTTAACAGAATGTTTTGTGGCACTCTTAAAGGGCCTCAAATCTTTTAACCATTATGATAACCATCACAGTTATCCATCATTTTCTTGACTAATCACATTAGCTTGAAGAAAAATTGCATTCTTACAAGTATAACACGCAGAGATGGCTGTATCAACATCTGGACTAGTTGCTAATTCAAGAGTTTTCAAGCAGTTTGCTGGAAATCTCTATATGAAAGGAACATATTACACTTCAAGTAAAGTGGGGATACTTTCAGTTTTGTTCAGCCTGGTAGAAAAGCAGCAGATACACAGAATGAAGAGGATCTTGAACAAAAGCGTTGTCTAATAATCAAAGATTTGCCATATGCACTACTTTGGTACTTCAGCTTTTCTACCTTGGCTGGATAGAAAAAGGAAGTGGCATTTCAAGCAAAATATGTTTAGGAATAATTTCCTTCACATCAGAAGCTTTGTGGTTTAAGAGAAAAAAATAAGGTAATATACATACAATCAACACATTCGATGAATCATTGTATCATTATACATCATGGATTTGTCCAGAAGAGTTTAGACAAAACATGGAGATGGTAGAAGCAGAAGAGGCAAAATGTGTCATTCTAATCCAGTCACATGGAGAAGACAATGGGAAAAAAAAGGTGAATTAAGGTCCATGTTAGTCACACTTCAGACTGTACAAGAGGTCCAAAAAACATACTAATAAGAGGACAAAAGACATACTAATATGAATGTAGAATCATCAAGAGTAAACTTCAGTCCAGGATTAGGCTTAATCTGTGACCACTCTACATTCACCTTGAAAAGGTCCATTGATCTTTTAAACACAATGGCAAAAATGGGAACCAATTATTATTCAGTGTCGCAGTTCACAATACAGGTCTATATAAAAAGACAAAAAAGTGCTTTAGATTATTAAGTAAAAACAATGGAGTTCGTAAAACAGTCAAACTGGGCATCAGTAAAAGGCCTTCAACGTATTTTTTTGAGTCCAAAATTAAGGTGTGAGGGTTTTGAATTGCTGATTCAGAGTCTAATGGTTAAGGGTCAGAGTAAATCTGCAGTCTCAGTGATCTTGAGCCCCACACCAGCGCTAACTGGAAGTGCATTCCCTAAAACCACCATTTAAATCCCAGCCTTCAGAGAAAGGGCACATATGCTCCCATTAGGTGAATTTATGAGCAAAGATCCACAGGAGACACTCAGCAAAGCAAATCCTCACCAACATCACCTTCTAGTCTTTCAGGTGTCAGAACTTCAAGTCTTTAAAACAAGGAATAAAAACATCCTCCGAAATCCATGGTATATTTAAAGTTCATATAACAAAATAGGCATAGGGTAGAAACCAATAATGGTAGAGTGGAACACAACAACCAGGCAAAGTGGTGAATATGGTTGCTGTTAAAGTGATTTCATTCATGACTATAGTGTCCTCCATACCACAGATCCATAAGGAGACGTAGAGAGAGAGAGAGCAGGAGAGAAAAGAGCAGGTACTGTTGTAAAATGAAATGTAAACGCCTTCTACTGAAAGAAGAAAACAGGAAAATCCTTCAAAACCGTTTGTATCCTTCTTGATTAGAACATCTATATTCACTCTCTAGAAAAAAAACACCATCCCCCTTCTGTAATAAACTACATGAAGGGCAGTGCTGACATGGTGATTGGAGTCTTTGTTGGTTACACCCTTTAAAAAGAAATTTTAACAGACCTTCATTTTGTGTGTGATATGTGTTAATAACTGTAGATTAAGGTGCTCTGTACAACAAAGAGTTTAGATATAAACCTAATCAAACACACCTGAACCAGATAGTCAAGGTTTATGGTACATTAAAAATGACAGACGTTTGTTAGAACAGGTTGGAACTAAATTCTGCAGAAAGGTGGATTTCCAGGAGCAGGACCGAGAGCTCAGAACAATTTTTTTTACATACAACACTGACCTAAACACGCTACATGTTTTAGAGGCTTTTAGATGTGTGTGCAGAGCATGAATGTAGATGCGTATGCATGCATTGCAAGTGTGTGTGTGTGTGTGTTGTTCACTAAATAACGGGCCACGTGATTTTCCCCATCTCACAGTGTTTGTGGTTCTCCAGGGGCCGTGTGTGGGCTCTGGGGGGGAGAATGTGGTGGGGATTGCAGAAGTGGGGTAAAATGTGGGGTTGGAGGGCAATAAGAAGGGTGGGCTGTGGGGGATGGGGGCAATCCGGAGGGCACCAGTGGTCCAGGGGGTCCGAAGGGGCCAGTGGGTGACTCAGCAGGAGGCTGGTTGTAAAAGAAGAAAGCACACTGATGGATGAATGTCTCGATGATTGTCTGGTAGGTGCGTGTGGCTGTCAGGGCATCCATAGAGGTGAAAACTGGCCGCATCAGTGTTGGCCAGAAACAGATGGAGAGATTCTCACTGGTCATTAAGTTGACTCTGTTCCACTGACTAACCCTGAGAGAGAGAAAGAAAAACAGAGATTTGATGTCACTTCCCTTTAACTGATCTCCAATAGTTAGCAACTGTAGGTGGTTTTTAAACTCACTTGTTTAGATGGCTCATTACATATTTGAAGACATCAAAATTCTCCCTGGGAAATCGTCTTAACACATCCTTCATTGTGTGAAGCCTCTGTTCTCGATCATTAATTTCTATGTGCAAAAAATTATAAACTTGATTATTCCACAGGCTTAGACAGGCATGGTGTTATGGATGACATAACATCCAATTTTGCTTCCTCTGCATGAAACACTTTATTTTAGAATTCAAGAAAATTCATTTACAATATTATATTCTTCACAAAAGCTTTTATAGAATGCTAAGTGAAATCTTACTGAAAGCTTCCACCAGCTCCTCCTGTGAACTATAAGGAAGCAGAGGCTCAGGCAGCTCAGAGAAGAAACTTTTCATTGCTCCGGCAACTGTATTCACAGTGAAGTCCTTCTCCACAAGGTCCAGATTGTGGTCTAAGAGGAATGAAAAATTAATAAATGAACAAAGTGAGAGTGATAAAATGAGGGAAGCAAGAAAGGAATCAAAGAAGAACATGAGCGGTAGAGCTTGTCCATAATAACAAAACACAAAATACATTTTACATTAAAAGCTTGTACTTTCTGTTAACATGCACTCATACAAACTATATGTAACAATACATGCCTTAACACCATAAGACAATCCACCATCATACCAACAACTGTAACCCACAACAATTTTATTGAAATTCTTCTGAACTTACCCTGTTCGAACTGTCTCTGCACGCTCTCTATCTCCGCCTTATTCCCACTTACCCTGTAGATACCCTCTGTTGTCAGACCTGAGAGAGAGAGAGAGTGTTGATTAACAAGATCATTTTAATGTAAATCTTCTTTCTATGACTTATTGTAAGCATTTTAAGAAATTAAGTACTAATCACTGCCAGAACACTTTTTGAAGTGTTGAAGATAATTCTACAAACTGCTACTACATACAGGTCTAATATACGGTTTCTGGCTATTAAAAATGCTAAAATGAAAAAAGAAAAAAAAATCATATTAATATGGTTCTACAATCTTCATTGTCAGACCATAACTGAAACTCAGTCAGGAAAAAGAGTGAACTATGTGCAAAACTATGCTGTGGTGTGATTTATGACAGCTACAGCCCATTAAGCATCTAATTTTAACTGGACACTGCAATAATGATAAGCTTATATGGTTCCCTAAGCACAACTGTTATGGGATAAGAATGATGGTGAAACAGCAGCAGCAAATGTACCTGTGGCCTCAATATAACGAATACTCTTGTCAATGAAAACTGGAATAGGTCGTTCAAGGGAAACCACATTGACCAAGGGCACCCCAAAGTAGTTACTCTCCAAAGGCTTAGAGATAGAATGACGAGGCTTTGGTCTTGTTTTCTGCCAAACAGCAAGACAAATACAGCTTATTTGACAATTGCACAAGACAATTAGTATGGTTTTGACTAGTGGTCGACTGACATATCGCCAAAACCGATATATCAGCCGATATTTGGAATTTTTCAAATATCGGCATCGGCCGACAAGTTTTTCTGTTTGGCCGATGTGTCCAAGGCGGGACTTTTATTTTGACGGCGCTGAGTACGGCAGCGCCTGAGCACACAGTGCTCACATTCTCCCTCTTGTTCGCTGTCGTCGTTCAGTTCTGTCTAATATGGATAGAAGTCTATCTAATAATCAGAACTGTTAAAAAAAAGGAAATAAAATGTATACAAAAAAGTATTATAACGATTGCTTTAATATTATTAGTAATAGAAAGGCAAACATTATAATACTTTCTCATTTGCCGTCAGCATTCAGCAAA